AGGCGCCACTTCCCATTAGCCTTAGTAACCATTACTACGTTGGAGAGCCACTTCGGATACGCCATTTCCCTGACTGCCCCGTTATCAATCAGCTTTCTAACCTCCTTGTCCATGGCTTGGGCCCTTTCAGTGGAGGCTCCCCTTAACTTTTGGCGAATAGGCTTGTACAGTGGATCGACATTGAGGCAGTGGGTAGCTACTTCTGGGTCAATGCCCTCAAGGTCCTCATGTGACCAAGCAAAGATGTCCATATTATGCTTCAAAAAATCAATCAACAGGGGAGCCAGCTCTTCAGAAAGGGAAGAGTCAATGTAAATTCTTCTGTCTGGGTGCTCATTTTCTAAAATTACAGGGATGAGTTTCTCGACTGGTTCTCCTCTTTCTGTTGCGGAGTCATCCCTTGGGTCAAGGACCTCAACCTGCAATGCTTCTTGGGGCTTCCTAGCCTTCATAGAGGATACATAGCACTCTCTGGCTGTTATTTGGTCCCCTTTGACCTCTCCGACTCTATTTGAGGTTGAAAAGCGGAGAACGAGATGGTAGGTAGAGGGCACAACTCTTAATGTGTTAAGAGCTGGCCGCCCTAATATGATGTAGTAGACTGACGGACACTCTATTATTAGGAAATTGACCATGACTGTGAAGCTTCAGGGTGTTACTCCGGCAGTGATGGGAAGTGTGATGGATCCAAGGGGATACACTTTTTCCCCTGAGAATCCAATGAGGGGTGACCTGATTGGCTGTAGCCTTTCCCTGCCCAGGTTGAGCTTGTCATAGGCCTCTGCAAACAGGATATCCGCAGAACTGCCACTATCCACCAGGATCCTGTGCACATGAAAATTAGCCACCGTCATGGTGAGCACCAAGGAGTCGTCATGGAGGTGCTGGATTTCCTCCAGGTCCTTGTCTGAAAAAGATATGACCTCGTCACCTTCCTGCTTCGGCACCTTAGATGGGTGCATCTCGTAGACATGTCTTGCCTTCTTGGCATGGGCCTTCATCACGGAAAAATGATTCTCCCCCACCTGCTAGTCCCCCTGAGATGGTGTAGATTTCCCCCATGGGCTGCTGATCTTCCTGGTTGTGAGATTGTGGTGCTCGTTCCCTTCCAGCAACGTACTGGCGTAAGTGACCACGCTGGATGAGCTCCTCAATTTGCCTCTTGAGGTCATAGCAATCGTCAGTGTCATGCCCCGTGGTCATGATGGAAGCGACAATACTTGTTAGAATTTCTGCGATTTGGAGGAGACTTCATTTTTCCAGGCCACTTTATCGCGGGGTCATCCTGGATCTGGAATAGGATGTGTCCCATGGAAGCATTGAGGGGAGTGAAGGGTTGACGGTTCCTCTGAGGAGCAGGACCTAGCCGGTCCTTGACAGGGACTTTCTCTGTCCTGCCATATTTGTTGCTGGTTTNTGGTTGACGGTTCCTCTAAGGAGCAGGACCTAGCTGGTCCTTGATAGAGACTTTCTCTGTCCTGTCATGTTTGTTGCTGGTCCCCTTCTTATCGTCCCTCTCCCTTTCCTTCCTTTTCTCCCCTNCTCTGAGGAGCAGGACCTAGCCGGTCCTTGACAGGGACTTTCTCTGTCCTGCCATATTTGTTGCTGGTTTCCTTCTTATCGTCCTTCTCTCTTTCCTTCCTTTTCTCACCAGCTCTGGAAGACTCACCCCGTCTGGCCCTTGTGATGTCTTTTGCATTTATGTACTTTTGGGCCTTGGCTAGCAGCTCTGGCATGCTCTTCGGTGGGCGCTTCAGAACTGAGAAAAGGAAACTTGATGAACGGAGGCCACCCAAGAAAGCGGTCATTGTCACCTTGTCGTCAGGTTCATCAACTTGGAGTACCTCCTCGTTAAAACGAGTGAGGTAACTCCTTAGGCTCTCCTCGCGGTCCTGCTTTATGCTAAGCAGATGTGTAACTGGTTTCTGGTGGCAACACTCTCCAATGAAGTGTGAGACGAATGATCTGCTAAGTTCGGCGAAAGAGGCAATAGAGGCGGGGGAGAGCTTAGCAAACCACTGTCGGGCAGACCCCTTTAATGTGGTTGGGAATGCCCTGCACATGATTTCGTCTGGTACGTTGTGCAATTGCATCAAGGTCTTGTAAGTGTCGAGGTGGTCCAGTGGATCCTTTGTTCCATCAAAGGTCTCCACAGATGGCATCTTGAACTTCTGAGGGAGGGGGTAGTTCGCTACATCAGATTTGAAAGGGGTATCAGTACGCCTTACCAGGTGGTCAACAGTCTCGGGTNTAGGGTAGTTTGCTACATCAGGTTTGAAAGGCGTATTAGTACGCCTTACCAGGTGGTCAACAGTCTCGGGTCCCTGGGCCTTCAT